AACTCCACTAGAAGAAGTAAAAGGTGTCGGCGCATGCGCAGAGAGAGCAGCCTGCACGCGCGCTCGGGGTGAGTTTGTTTATTTTTTGTTTTTGTTTATTTCTGTAAAAAACGTGAAAATGACGAGTGAATCTTTGACGTTTGCGTGAGTCCGCGTGTTCAGAGCGTCTTTAAACACAACTGGACTCGGTTTAGCTGCGGTTTGACCCGAGGATTTGGATTGTCACGACCTCCGTAAAGAAACACTGCGGAACATTTACTGCCCCGAATCTCGCACAGTATTTCATTAAACTAATCAGTCACCATGGAGACAAGAAAACTCCCCTGTCATGTCATGTTATACCCTGGTTTAGTCCTGGTTTAGACCTGGTTTAGTCCCTGGTCTAGTCCTGGTCTAGTCCTGGTCTAGTCCTGGTTTAGACCTGGTTTAGACCTGGTTTAGTCCTGGTTTAGTCCTGGTTTAGTCCTGGTTTAGTCCTGGTTTAGACCTGGTTTAGTCCCTGGTCTAGTCCTGGTCTAGTTCTGGTTTAATCCTGGTTTAGACCTGGTTTAGACCTGGTTCAGGCCTGGTTTAGTCCTGGTTTAGACCTGGTTTAGTTCTTGACTCTGGTCTTTTCGTGTTTTGTTTTTCAGGGACATGAGTTTTGTTGCAGATTTCCACCAGGAGGCGCTGAAAAAAGACCAAGGTCCAGAGAGATACCTGAAGATCCAACTGTACGTGTGGACCGGGTCTGAACCAGGACTAGACCGGGACTAGACCGGGTCTGAACCAGGACTAGACCGGGACTAGACCAGGTCTAAACCAGGACTAGACCGGGTCTGAACCTGGGACTAGACCGGGTATGAACCAGGACTAAAACAAGACTAGACCTGATGGATTATCGATAATGATCGTTCAGTGGGACAAACAAATGTGTCGTAAACCAAACAGGTGTGACACATAACAGTGGGTCAGTCGTAAGAACCAAGCACGGTTTCACAGTGGACATGTGGCACAGTGGATAAAGCAGCACATATGTTTCTGTGTCCAGTGGGAAAAAGTTTTTCCAGGTGAGAGTCGCTCAATGTGGATGACGAGGCCCCGCCCCCCTCCCCCGTACGCTGTCCTGGTTTTGACAAACACAAATCTGGTCACACTGACCTGTATTCACCTGAGTCATGTCTTTTAATCCAACACAAGTTGAACCACATCAGCGACACAAGAGCTGGAGTTTTTATCTTCACTTAGTTTATGTAAATTAGTGATGTGGTTTTAAGTTTTGTTTCTGTGAGATTTGAACAAAACTGAATTAAACACATTATAATGTCAAACAGCTGATGTGGATCTAGAGTCGTTATGTTTATATGTCGTAAAGTTGAATTTATTTATGCAGATTAGTGCAGATAGTCATAATAATGATGATCATTTTAATAGAAAAACGTTCATGATTAATCGATAATCGATCGTTCATTCTTCTGACGATCGATTAAGAAAATTTCATCGAATGCCCGTCCCTAATCAGGACTGAACTGGGACTTAAGGAGGAGTAAACCAGGACTAAACTGGGACTAAACCAGTTCTAGACCAGTTCTATCCCAGGTCTGGTTCTGGTCTGGTTCTGGTTCTGGTCTGGTTCTGGTCTGGTTCTGGTTGACCGTGTGTGTGTTTCTGGTCTGGTTCTGGTTCTGGTCTGGTTCTGGTCTGGTTCTGTTCTGGTTCTGGTCTGGTTCTGGTTCTGGTTCTGGTTGACCGTGTGTGTGGTTCTGGTCTGGGTCTGGTCTGGTTCTGGTCTGGTTCTGGTTCTGGTTGACCGTGTGTGTTTTTCAGGGAGCTGGAGGAGGAGGTGAGTCTGTCTGAGGTGGAGTTCAGGTTCTTCATCGTGTCGGGGCTCAGGAGTCTCCACGGAGAAGTACGACCAAAGACTCTTCACCTGAGACGAGACGAGACTGACGACGGACGGACGGACGGACGAGACGAGACGGACGGACGACCGGACGAGACGGACGAGACGAGACGGACGGACGAGACGGACGGACGAGACGAGACGAGACGAGACGAGACGAGACCGGACGAGACGAGACCGGACGAGACGAGACCGGACGAGACGAGACCGGACGCGTCAGGACGAGACGAGACCGGCGGCGTCAGGTCGGGACATGGGACATGGGGGCGCCACCATTTTCATTTCTCGTGACTCGGTTTTCATTTTTTCGTGACTCGGTTTTTGTTTTTCGTGACTCGGTTTTTAGTTTTTCGTGACTCGGTTTTTTTCGTGACTCGGTTTTCATTTCTCGTGACTCGGTTTTCATTTTTCGTGACTCGGTTTTCGTTTCTCGTGACTCGGTTTTCGTTCCTCGTGACTCGGTTTTGTTTTTCAGGTGGGAGCGGCGTTGACCTTCGACCTCCTGGAGCATGATGAAGTTTCAAACGTGGCTGTGCTCAGAGTGTCCAGAGAGTGAGAGACCGACCACACACTGCCCCCGTGTCCTCGAGCAACACACCTCACACTCTTTATCATCGACCAGGACTGGACCAGGAACTGGACCAGGACTTAAACAAGACTGAACCTGGATTAGACAACGACTTAAACCAGGACTAGACCTGGACTGAACTCGGACTGAACTCGGACTGAACGCTGACTGACCTGGGACTAGACCTGGGACTAGACCTGGGACTAGACCTGGGACTAGACCTGGACTTGACCTGGACTCGACCTGGACTGAACTCTGACTCGACCTGGACTGAACGTGAACTGAACGCGGACTGAACTCAGAATAGACCTGGACTAGACCTGGACTAGACCTGGACTAGACCTGGACTAGACATGGACTAGACCTGGACTAGACCTGGACTAGACCTGGACTAACATATCTTTGATTTTGCAGGGGTCTGGTGAAACTTTGGAGCTCTTTGACGTTGCTGGGATTTTACAAGAACCAGCGCTGTGCCTTCAGAGTCCTACAGGTACTGGACCTGGACTAGACCTGGACTAGACCTGGACTAGACCTGGACTGGACCGGGACTTTTTATTTCTTTAGTTGCTCATATTTGGACTAAACCAGATCTGTCCTTTTTCATCAGGTCTCCTCAAGTCCTCCAGAAAGTTGAGAGTGATGTGGCTTGGGTCTGGTCTCGGGTCTGGTCTCGGGTCTGGTCTCGGGTCTGGTCTCGGGTCTGGTCTCGGGTCTGGTCTCGGTTCTGGTCTCGGGTCTGGTCTCGGGTCTGGTCTCGGGTCTGGTCTCGGGTCTGGTCTGAGGTCTGGTCTCGGGTCTGGTCTGAGGCCTGCTCGTGGTCTGGACTTGCCCCGGTCTAGATCTGGTCTTCGGTCTCTTCACGTTGGTCAGGTTTTCAGTCTGACCAGGACTTTCTCTGAGCAGGACCTGGTTGAGTTCTCGGTTCTGACCGGGGACTCGAACCCTCTCCATCTGGACCCGGACTTTGCCAAGACCACGGTCTTCTCCAGACCTGTAGTCCACGGAGTCCTGGTGAGTCCTGAGACGAGTCGCTGTAGACCCGGACTTTAAATCTGAAAAACCAAGTAGAAGTTTAACAATATCAAAGTCTCACGATACGATATCGTCACGTCTGAACCTGACGATACGATTTTTATTTCAATATCGTTGGAAAGTTCACGATATTCTCCAGAATAACCAGAGTGACTAAACCAGGACTAAACCAGGACTAAACCAGGACTGAACCAGGACTGAACCAGGACTGAACCAGGACTAAACCAGGACTAAACCAGGACTAAACCAGGACTGAACCAGGACTGAACCAGGACTGAACCAGGACTAAACCAGGACTGAACCAGGACTGAACCAGGACTGAACCAGGATTAAACCAGGACTAAACCAGGACTGAACCAGGACTGAACCAGGACTGAACCAGGACTAAACCAGGACTGAACCAGGACTGAACCAGGACTAAACCAGGACTAAACCAGGACTAAACCAGGACTAAACCAGGTTTAAACCAGGACTGAACCAGGACTGAACCAGGACTGAACCAGGACTAAATCAGGACTGAACCAGGACTAAACCAGGACTGAACCAGGACTGAACCAGGACTAAACCAGGACTAAACCAGGTCTAAACCAGGACTAAACCAGGTCTAAACCAGGACTGAACCAGGACTGAACCAGGACTGAACCAGACTAAACCAGGACTAAACCAGGACTAAACCAGGACTAAACCAGGACTAAACCAGGACTGAACCAGGACTGAACCAGGACTGAACCAGGACTTAAACCAGGACTAAACCAGGACTGAACCAGGACTGAACCAGGACTGAAACCAGGACTAAACCAGGACTAAACCAGGACTGAACCAGGACTAAACCAGACTAAACCAGGACTAAACCAGGACTAAACCAGGACTAAACCAGGTTTAAACCAGGACTGAACCAGGACTGAACCAGGACTAAATCAGGACTGAACCAGGACTAAACCAGGACTGAACCAGGACTGAACCAGGACTAAACCAGGACTAAACCAGGTCTAAACCAGGACTAAACCAGGTCTAAACCAGGTCTAAACCAGGTCTAAACCAGGTCTAAACCAGGTCTAAAACAGGACTAAAACAGGACTAATCCAGGATTAGAACAGGACTGAACCAGGTCTAAACCAGGGCTGAATTAGGATTAAACCAGGTCTAAGACCAGGACTAAACCAGGACTAAAAACAGGTCTAAAGTAGATCTAAACCAGGACTGAACCAGATCTAAACTAGGACTAAAACCAGGACTAAAACCAGGACTAAAACCAGGTCTAAACCAGGACTAAACCAGGACTAAACCAGGACTAAAACCAGGACTAAACCAGGACTAAAACCAGGTCTAAACCAGGACTAAAACCAGGTCTAAACCAGGACTAAAACCAGGTCTAAACCAGGACTAAAACCAGGTCTAAACTAGATCTAATCCAGATTTAAATCAGGACTACATCAGAACTAGAACAGGATTTAACAGGTCTAAATCCTGCTGCTGTGGATCGTGTTTCTTCTTCTTCTATCAATAATATTTTTAATTTGGTTCAGTAAAGTCTGGACTTTTTATTTTCTTTTATCAGACAAAACTTCTTACGTTGAGATTTCCTCGTCTTTGTTTCTCTACAGCAAATCAAGTAATCCAAAGTAATCAGATTACACTTTAAGTAATTGAATGGATTACGTTACAAACTACATTTTGGAGTGTGTAATCTGTAATCTGTAGGGGATTACATTTTAAAAGTAACTTCCCAACACTGTCTATTGCATAATGAAAACGGTGGACTCTTTGTTCTTTGTGATTTAATTTCTCTGGGTTAAATAAAAAAGTGTAAATGTTCCGGGTTGTTCTGGGCGTCCGCAGGTGAACGGTCTGATCTCCGCTCTCCTCGGCTCCAACGCTCCGGGCTGCGTCCTCCTGAAGCAGGACATACGCTTCCCCGCGCCGCTCTTCCCCCGCGAGCCCGTCCTGGCCCGGGTCCAGGTCCAGAGGGTCCGGCTTTCCACAGCTCTGGTCTCGGTCCGGGTCCAGACCCAGACCCGGACCGGAGACGGGGCCCAAGAACCGAAAGTGGTGCTGGAGGGAACCGTGACCGTGAAGATTCAGCGGGACGAGCGAGGACGGACCTGAGAGGAACTCCGGACCCGGACCTGGACCCGGACCTGGACCTGGACCCAGCTCAGATCTGGTCCTTCGCAGGTTTAACAGAGACACTGAAGGACACGTCAAGACATTTCCCTGTTTGGACGATAAAGGACATGTTTTTTTTTTTTTCTGAAATTAGACGAGAAACTGGATATTAAAACTGTTTATTTACATTTTGTCTCAGTTGTTTTAATGTGGTGTTTTTACATCTGGGTCCAGTCAAGTGGTAACGGAGGGAAACAGGGTCAGATTTTTGACATTCAAATGTCTCTTATTCAGAAACTAGAGGAACTATTGAAATAAGTAAAGTATCAGAATGTAGGAAAGAGTTACACTCCAACAGGGTCAAGTTAAACCTGTGAGATTCTTTCAAGTTCAAGACAAAAAATGTAAAAACTCATGTTGGTAACGGAGGGAATGAAATATGCAGCACTTTTTGGTCAATAAATCCAAACAGTGATAACTCTTGGTTCTCACTTCCATATCCTTAACAAACTGGTTTGAATATTTGCTTCATATAGTTTTCTACCATATGGTACAAGATTAGGTTGAAAAACCTCTGACTTTTTGACTCATGAGATTTTTTATTAAGAAAGGTCATGGTAACGGAGGGAAAAGTAACGGAGGGAAAATTGTACAAACAAGTAGAAGGTGCAGGATTTTACATCATTTTTTGTTTTTTTCTTCTGAATACTTTAATATTACTTCAAAATGAAAGGAAACTATTTCTATAAAATATGTCAGTCCTTCCAAGAACATTTTTATCATTTTAAATATATATATATTATATTTTTAAATCATGTACCTTCATCAACAGTTCAAAAGATCCTGCAGGGCTGTATGTTTGACACTCCTGATCTAAACTGTGTCCAATAATTTCCCTTGTGGATCAATAAAGTTTGTTTAAGTCTAATAAACAGGAGTTTCTAAGACTGATCCAGGAAAAGCACCAAACCTGTAAGAACTGTCAACTTTATTTTTATGTATATGTTTTATTGACAAATGCAGGTTGATTACTTTTACTAACACACACATTAACAGGCGTCATTCTAAAGGGTTTCAGTCAGTCTGGCGCCACTTAGTGTCTCTGCTCAGTTTCATTTCTCTCCAGAAACTAAATCAGGAATCAAAAAACACTAGACCAGAGTGTCAAACATACGGCCCGGGGGCCAGATCCGGCCCTCCAAGACCTTAAATCTGGCCCTCCGCTGATTTTCTGCTAAAATATTTTAATGATATTTTCTATTAAAATCTTGTTAATTTTCTGTGGTGTTTATCACAGCAGCGTCTCCAGCGTCTCTGTACGTGGCCCCTCCCACCAGAGCAGCACAAATGAAGACTTGTCTCTTTCCAAACGCTCTTAAAGGACGATCGTTTTGACTGTTGACCGTGACACCCTCATCAGAAAAATGTCCAACATGAGAAAAGTGGAGCCGAGTGCAGGATTTTACAACAAAAATCGACTTGTTCATGTTCAAACTTTGTGTTGAAATTGTATTTTTCTTAAAGTTTCAGGTTGTTCATAATATTATAATATTTTGTAAAAGAAAGAGTTCATCAATTAAAAAAGATTTCTGTAATAGATTTGTGTTTCTCTGCACAAATATTTGAACTTATTGTTATTTTTGAGGTTTATATGACATGAGTTTTCTGATCCAGACACTTTGGATCAAAGTCGGTTGGACTCGACCCCCGGAACAAAATGAGTTTGACTCTCCTGGTTTAGAGTTTCCACACGTCCCTGTTTCCCCGGGACAGTCCCAGTCCTGATCCTGTGTCTCTGTCCCAGCAGATTTATACAAAACCACTGATTTGCCCCAATTTTATACAAGAAATGTCCCAGTGTCTCTATTTTTAACCAATCTGATCCTGCAACAGTAAAAAGAGAAACATAAACTGACATTTGTTTAAATAAAATACAGAAAAGCTGTTTTAAAACGACCGAAACACAAAGAAAATGTGAAACTGTAGTGACTCATGTTCGAGCCGAGTGCAGAACTATTCTCCTTAATCTTGCTCTTGTTTCAGTTTTATTATTTCCAACCACCACAAACCAGGAATGTTCCAGTTTTTAACTTTAAAAATCTCTCACTCCGCAGCTCACACGTCACAATATAAAACAAATAAAACGACGGAGTAAAAAGTGTAAACTGTAATATTAAATTCTAAAAAAGTAGCAAAAAAGAGCAAGAGACACGAGTCAAATAAAGCAGGATTTTATAAATATAGATAAAATTTAAACAATCCACACTGTACACATGAATTAAAATCAACTCACCCTCCAGTGCAAACAAGTACAAAAACAATAATAAATAAATAAAATATAGAGTAAATAAACAGGTAGATAAGTACGAGTGCAAGAAATAAAAAAGACTGGAACACCCAAGAGTAAAAAAACTCACTGCACTTTATTAAATATTACACTGTATTAAATATGAAATACACTAACTAAATGTGTAAATAATCTTTCTAAATGACAGTATTTTTAATACATTTTGACAAACTATGTAAATAATCTTTGTAAATTTCTGTATTTTTAATAAACTTTAACTAATTAATCTTTGTAAATTTCTATATTTTGAATACATTTTAATCAAATGTATAAATAATCTGTCTAAATTTCTGTATTTTTAATAAACTTTGACTAAATGTGTAAATATTCTTTCTAAATTTCTATATTTTGAATCAACTTTGATTAAATTTATAAATAATCTTTGTAAATTTCAGTATTTTGAATAAACTTTGACTAAATGTATAAATAATCTTTGTAAATTTCAGTATTTTGAATAAACTTTAACTAAATGTATAAATAATCTTTGTAAATTTCAGTATTTTGAATAAACTTTTATTAAATATATAAATAATCTTTGTAAATTTCAGTATTTTGAATAAACTTTAACTAAATATATAAATAATCTTTGTAAATTTTTGTATTTTGAATCAACTTTAACTAAATAATCTTTGTAAATTTCAGTATTTTTAATAAACTTTGATTAAATATATAAATAATCTTAGTAAATTTCAGTATTTTTTAATAAAGTTTGATTAAATATATAAATAATCTTTGTAAATTTCTATATTTTGAATAAACTTTGACTAAATGTATTAATAATCTTTGTAAATTTCTATATTTTTAATAAACTTTGACTAAATGTGTAAATAATCTTTGTAAATTTCTGTATTTTGAATAAACTTTAACTAAATATATAAATAATCTTTGTAAATTTCTGTATTTTGAATAAACTTTGATTAAATGTGTAAATAATCTTTGTAAATTTCTGTATTTTGAATAAACTTTGATTAAATATATAAATAATCTTTGTAAATTTCAGTATTTTGAATAAACTTTGATTAAATATATAAATAATCTTTGTAAATTTCAGTATTTTGAATAAACTTTGATTAAATATATTAATAATCTTTGTAAATTTCTGTATTTTGAATAAACTTTGATTAAATGTATAAATAATCTTTGTAAATTTCTGTATTTTTAATAAACTTTAACTAAATGTATAAATAATCTTTGTAAATTTCTATATTTTTAATAAACTTTGACTAAATGTGTAAATAATCTTTGTAAATTTCAGTATTTTGAATAAACTTGTGGCAGATTTTGTTGTTTACATCGAGCTGTGGGCGTGTCTCCCGTACCAACATGGCGGCTGCGTCACTACGTGTTACGCGTTTACGTCTCTTCCGCGTTCGGGTGAAGCTCCGGCTCCAGTCAGCGGCTCTTGTGGCTCCTCTTCCCCGGCTCTCAGGCTCTGTCCGCCCGCTGCCTCCGCTCCCGGGACCCGCCGCGCTCACCGGGCTCCCGCGGCCCTCTCCCCGGACCCTCCTCCGCCCCGTGCCCGCCCGCCGATGCCCGGGGCCGGGATGTCTTCTTACCTGGAGACGCCGAGCCCTGGACGGCAGCTCCTGGATGACACGGTCCCGCTCAGCGCGACCATCGAAGCGAGCCAGAACCTGCAGTCCCACACGGTACACCGAGCCACGGCCCCGGCGCGACCCCGACCCGCCGGTTCCGTTTCACTAAATCCACTTTTATTTGATTTAACTCTTTTAATTTGCTTTAGAACCGCGCTCGGAACACTAGCTGCGTCAGTAGATCCATTATCGGACACAGCTGTGGCCTGGACCTGGTTTAGATCTGAGTTTAGACCTGGTTTAGATCTGAGTTTAGACCTGGTTTAGATCTGAGTTTAGACCTGGTTTAGATCTGAGTTTAGACCTGGTTTAGATCTGAGTTTAGACCTGGTTTAGATCTGAGTTTAGCCTGGTTTAGATCTGAGTTTAGATCTGGTTTAGATCTGAGTTTAGACCTGGTTTAGATCTGAGTTTAGATCTGGTTTAGATCTGGTTTAGATCTGAGTTTAGACCTGGTTTAGATCTGAGTTTAGACCTGGTTTAGATCTGAGTTTAGACCTGGTTTAGATCTGAGTTTAGACCTGGTTTAGATCTGAGTTTAGACCTGGTTTAGATCTGAGTTTAGTCCTGTTTTAGTCCTATTTTAGTCCTGGTTTAGATCTGAGTTTAGACCTGGTTTAGTCCTGTTTTAGTCCTATTTTAGTCCTGGTTTAGATCTGAGTTTAGACCTGGTTTAGTCCTGGTTTAGTCCTGCTTTAGTCCTGGTTCTGTGTGTTTTTTTTGGGACACGGGACCTGCCTCTGATGAAGCAACATCCTGCTCGTTTCCTCGTGAAGTTCACTTGCAAAACATTTACCAGAAACACAAACGTCGTAAAAGTGGAATTTTAACCAAACTGACTTTAAAATATTAAAACTGAGAGGAATTTAGTTTAGTTTAGGGTCAAACTGGATGTTACAAAATTATTATAAATATTTGTCACAGAAAATATTATTCTTATTAGTTGTTTGGTACAAGACTTTACTTCAACACATCGTCTTATTTTAATTTAATTTTGTTTAGTTTTAGTTTCTATTCACTGGAAAAACTTTATATAAATACAAGTAATGCAAAACCTTTCCTGGTTTAGTCCTGGTTTAGAACTGGTTTAGTCCTGGTTTAGTCCTGGTTTAGACCTGAGTTTAGTCCTGGTTTAGTCCTGGTTTAGTCCTGGTTTAGACCTGGTTTAGACCTGGTTTAGACCTGAGTTTAGTCCTGGTTTAGTCCTGGTTTAGACCTGGTTTAGACCTGATTTAGACCTGATTTAGTCCTGATTTTAGTCCTGATTTAGACCTGGTTTAGACCTGGTTTAGTCCTGGTTTAGACCTGGTTTAGACCTGGTTTAGTCCTGGTTTAGACCTGGTTTAGACCTGAGTTTAGACCTGGTTTAGTCTTGAGTTTACACCTGGTTTACACCTGGTTTAGACCTGGTTTAGACCTGGTTTAGACCTGGTTTAGTCCTGGTTTAGACCTGAGTTTAGACCTGATTTAGTCCTGAGTTTAGACCTGGTTTAGTCCTGGTTTAGACCTGGTTTAGACCTGAGTTTAGACCTGGTTTAGACCTGAGTTTACACCTGGTTTACACCTGGTTTAGACCTGGTTTAGACCTGAGTTTAGACCTGATTTAGTCCTGGTTTAGTCCTGGTTTAGACCTGGTTTAGACCTGAGTTTAGACCTGATTTAGTCCTGGTTTAGTCCTGGTTTAGACCTGGTTTAGACCTGGTTTAGACCTGGTTTAGTCTCTCAGATATTTGTCACAGAAAATATTATTACTAGTTATAAATATTATTACACAGTTCTATATTTTAACACATTTTAATTTATTTTATTTTTATATTAACACATAATTGTTTTTATTTTTATTTTGTTTGTGTTTTACATTTGCAGAAAACTCAGTTTTTAATAAATCCCACTAATACAAAACCTTTCCTTTGTATTCACGTCTAAACCGGGTATTTCCAACACTTTTTCAGCCTTTCACTTCGTAATACGAGTGATTTTTTTTTTTTTTTTTTTTTTTTTTTTTTTTCTCTTACACTTGTCAAACTGATTAGACAAATCCTGTAATTAAAAACGACCTTTGAGACCAACAAAATGATCCAGCTTTAACGAACCTTATTCACGTACACGTCAATTTAACAACAAAGTCACTCATTTAACCTTTATATTCATGTTCAAACGCACCAAAGAAGCAGATTTAGAGCTTTTAGAAGATTTTTAATAATTCGGCTAAAGTGAAATAAATGAAATAATGTCACGTTTGTTTAAAAATGTAAGAAAAACAAACGGTCAGTAGTAAATCTGTGGTTAAAGTGTTATTGCGGTCAGGCGCAGATGCTCACTTGTGTTTATGGATGTTGAATGGGAGTTTTGAAGTGTTTTTTTTGTTTTGTTTTGTTTTTTTGAAGCGGAGGGGCAGCGGTAGTTCCCGGGTGAAAGTGTCCGGGAAAAGGGCGCCGTGCCGCGGGTTTGTTGTTGACGTGAAGCCGGAGATCTGCGGAGGTAGCTTAGCATGCTAACGGGCTAACGGACTAACGCGCTGACAGAATGTAAACAGAAGAAGAAGAAGAAGAAGAGAGAAGAGAAGGAGAGAAGGAGAGAAGGAAGGGAGAGGGAGAAAAGAAGAAGAGAGGAGAGGAGAGGGGGAAGGAGAAAAGAAGAGAAGAGGGGGAGAGAAGAGGGGGGAGAAAAGGAGGGAGAGAGATAAGAGAGGGAGGGAGAAAGGGAGAGAAGAGTTGGAGGGAGAGAGAGAGAGAAGGGGGAGGAAGGAAAGAGGAACTGAAGGGGGGGGGATGCAGGAAAGAAGAAAAAAAAAAGGACAAATAAAGGAAGTGCAGACTCATAAAGACCGTTAACAGGACTGTATATTTATTATTTGTTAATTATTACTGTTTTATTAGTTTATTAGTGTTTTATTAGGTCTGGTCCGGTTCAGACTGGGTTCAGACCAGGTTCAGACCAACTTTAGACCGGGTTCAGACTGGATTCAGACCAACTTTAGACCGGGTTCAGACTGGATTCAGACCAACTTTAGACCGGGTTCAGACTGGATTCAGACCGGGTTCAGACCAACTTTAGACTGGGTTCAGACTGGATTTAGACCAACTTTAGACCGGGTTCAGACTGGATTCAGACCGGGTTCAGACCAACTTTAGACTGGGTTCAGACTGGATTCAGACCAACTTTAGACCGGGTTCAGACTGGATTCAGACCGGGTTCAGACCAACTTTAGACTGGGTTCAGACTGGATTTAGACCAACTTTAGACCGGGTTCAGACTGGATTTAGACCAACTTTAGACCGGGTTCAGACGGATTCAGACCAACTTTAGACCGGGTTCAGACTGGCTTTAGACCGGGTTCGGACCAACTTTAGACTGGGTTCAGACTAGTTTAGTTTTAGTTGGTTTAGTTTATGATTAGTTTATTATTGGTTAATTATTAGTTAATTATTAGTTTATTAATAATGTATTAGTAGTTTATTATTAGTTAATTATTTGTTTATTATTAGTGTATTAATAGTTAATTATTAGTTAATTAATAGTTAATTACAGCTCTGATCATGTTTAAACTCCTGAATCACACAAACTGAACTTTCAGTCAAAAACCCAAACCTCTGGTCCCAAACACGACCTGGACTTGAGTTTGTTTCAGTCGAACTCTTCATTATTATTATTATTATTAGATGATTATTATTATTATTATTATCAGATCTCCAGATGCTCTGTTCCACCTCGTGATGTCATGACGTGGTTGTTTTTGCAGGTGAACAGTTCCTTTTACCTTCAGGTCGGTAGAAATCGGAAACTCCAGGGCTGAAAAAAATGATCCAAAGAGGAATGTGGGAAAAAGAGAGGGATGGACAGAGAGAGAGAGAGAAGAAGAAGAAGAGGAAGAAGAGTTTTATTTAGTGGATTTGACCTGAAAATGACCTGTTCATATGAGATTCACCTGATCTGAAAACCATCCACACTCAAATCCTCCTGCAGTTTAGACCTGGTTTAGTTCTGAATTTAGTCCTAAATTTAGTCCTGGTTCAGACCTGGTTTAGTCCTGGTTTAGTTCTGAATTTAGTCCTGAGTTTAGTCCTGGTTCAGACCTGGTTTAGTCCTGGTTTAATTCTGAATTTAGTCCTGGTTTAGTCCTGGTTGGTTTAGTCCTGGTTTAATTCTGAATTTAGTCCTGGTTTAGTCCTGGTTCAGACCTGCTTTAGTCCTGGTTCAGACCTGAGTTTAGTCCTGGTTTACTCCTGGTTTAGACCGGAGTTTAGTCCTGGTTTAGTCCTGGTTTAGACCTGAGTTTAGACCTGGTTTCAATCTGAATTTAGTCCTGACTTTAGACCTGTTTTAGTCCTGGTTTAGTTCTGAATTTTGTCCTGAGTTTAGTCCTGATTTAGACCTTGGTTTAGTCCTGGTTTAGTCCTGGTTCGTGTTTTAAATGGTCAAACAAAAAACAAGTGGAGTCAGATCAGCTGAGACTCACATGTGCACGAAACGAAGAGAAAAGAGGAAGAGAGAGAGAAAGAGAAAGTGCAGTTTGTTTAGTTTAGAGTTTGTGGATTTGACCCGAATATGACCTGTTCATGAGATTAGTCTGATCTGACATCCTCCTCTTCCTCCGGTTCAGTCCTGCTTTAGTCCTGCTTTGGTCCTGGTTTAGTCCTGGTTTAGTCCTGGTTTAGTCCTGGTTTAGTCCTGGTTTAGTCCTGGTTCAGTCCTGGTTTAGTCCTAGTCTAGTCCTGCTTTAGTCCTGCTTTAGTCCTGGTTTAGTCCTGGTTTAGTCCAGTCCTGGTTTAGTCCTAGTTTAGTCCTGCTTCAGTCCTGGTTTAGTCCTGGTTCAGTCCTGCTTTAGACATTTGTAAACTTGGTGTGGCTCCTTTGGGTCTGAGGCGGGTTCATCCTTCGCCCGCAGACTTAAGTCGGTGAAGTGTCTTGCCCAAGAGCACAACAACGCGAGAGTAACAAAGACTGACTTTAAACTTTACTCTTGTGTTGTTGTTTTTTTCAGGAGTACATCATCCGAGTGCAGAGGGGCGTCTCCTCAGACAACTGCTGGCAGGTACAACTCCAGACCGGGTCCAGACCGGGTCCAGGACCCGGGTAGACTGACTTCAGACCGGGTCCAGACTGAATTCAGACCGGGTCCAGACCGACGTCCAGAGGTCCAGACCGGGTTCAGACTGGCTTTAGACCGGGTTCAGACTGGGTTCAGACCGGATCTAGACCGGGTTCAGACCGGATTTAGACCGGGTTCAGACTGGATTTAGACCGGGTTCAGATTGGCTTTAGACCGGGTTCAGACCTTTTAGACCGGGTTCAGACCGGATTTAGACCGGGTTCAGACCGGATTTAGACCGGTTCAGACCGGTTCAGACCGGATTTAGACCGGGTTCAGACCGGTTTTAGACCGGGTTCAGACCGGTTTTAGACCGGGTTCAGACCGGATTTAGACCGGGTTCAGACCGGTTTAGACCGGGTTCAGACCGGTTTTAGACCTGTCTTTCTTTTTATTCAGTCCTGTTTCAGTCCTGGTTTATTCCTGGTTCAGATGTTGGTTTAGTCTCAGTTTAGTCCTGGTTACAGTCCCTGTTTTAATCCTGGTTCAGACCCTATTTTAGCCCCGGTTTAGTCCTAGTTTAGTACCTGGTTCAGTCCTGGTTCAGTCCTGTTTTAGTCCTGGATTAGTTCCTGTTTTGGTCCAGTCCAGGTAACAGTCTGTTTTACTTGCAGGTGATTCGTCGATACAGCGACTTTGATGCACTAAACTCCGCCCTCCAGGTGAGTCCTTTACTTAAAACTGTTTCAGAATTTTCTCTGTTTGATTTTAGTCCTGGTTTAGTCCTGGTTTAGTCCTGGTCTTGACTGGGGTGTTTTATTCTTCTTAAACAGGAAAATGTTTTTGTGCTGAGTTTTAGTTTTTCTCTTCCTGTTTCTCTGACTCCACGACCTCATACCAACATCTGCTCCCAAAACCCTGGTTTAGACCTGGTTTAGACCTGGTTTAGACCTGGTTTAGACCTGGTTTAGACTGGATTTTGGAGGAGAGGGAGAGAAGAGAGGAGGAAAAAAAACAAAACAACTATTAGGCGCTTTGAGGATTTAAACATTTAAAAATAATCTTACAAAATAGTCCTGGTTTAGTCCCAATGTAGTCCTGGTTTAGTCCTGGTTTAGTTTTGGTTTAGTCCGCATACCCGCCCGTAACATTCCAGAACGTTAAAACCCGCCCGTTTCAGCAACTATTTGCCGTACCAGGACTCTGCGGGACTCTCTCTGTACGGGACTCTGCAGGATTCTGGGGACTCTGGGACTGTAGACTCTGTGACTCTCTGGGACTGTACGGGACTCTGCACGGGACTGGGACTGTACGGGACTGTACGGGACTCTGCGGGACTGTACTCGGGACTGTACGGGACTGCGGGACTGCGGGACTGTGGGACGGGACTACGGGACTCTGTACGGGACTCTGGGACTGTACGGGACTGGGACTGCGGGACTGTACGGGACTGTACGGGACTGGGACTCTGTACGGGACTGTACGGGACTGTACGGGACTCTGCGGGACTGTACGGGACGGGACTCTACGGGACTGTACGGGACTGTACGGGACTCTGGGACTGTACGGGACTGTACGGGACTGTACGGGACTCTATGGGACTGTACGGGACTCTACGGGACTCTGGGACTGTACGGGACTCTGGGACTGTACGGGACTCTACGGGACTCTATGGGACGGGACTGGGACTGTACGGGACTGGACTGTACGGGACTCTATGGGACGGGACTGTACGGGACTCTACGGGACTGTACGGGACTCTGTACGGGACTGTACGGGACTCTATGGGACTGTACGGGACTGTACGGGACTCTATGGGACTCTACGGGACTGTACGGGACTCTACGGGACTGTACGGGACTCTACGGGACTGTACGGGACTCTACGGGACTGTGGGACTGTACGGGACTCTGCGGGACTGTACGGTGACTGTACGGGACGCTGGGGGGCGCTGGGGGGCGCTGGGAGAGGGGCTTGTCCAGGTTTATTGTAGATCTGTAACGATGTAAACATCTTTGAGCCTTGAAAGTGGAAACTGCGGCCGATACTGATGGAACTGATACCTGCCGTCTCTAGTGTCTCACCTGCACCTGTCCCCCCCCCCCCCTTCCGCAGGTGAGTGGGATCTCTCTGCCGCTACCTCCCAAGAAGCTGATTGGAAACATGGACCGGGACTTCGTCGCCGAGAGACAGAGAGGACTGCAGGCCTACCTGGACTACATTACCCAGCATCCTCTGCTCTGCTCCTGCCTCAGCGTCAAGAGGTTCCTCGACCCCAACAACTACACCACCAACTACACAGGTCCGAGCTCCAGCGCAGACACGAACACAGAAAACACACATTCAAGTTCAGAACGTCGATGGAAAAAAAGTAGAAAGACAAAAAAATAAAGTCAATCAAAACTAATAAAGGAAAACAGAGGAAACTTACCTGTTCAGTTTACAGTTGTTATAATTGTGCCTCTGGATGAAAGTGTGAGGAAGGGCATCTGGTGTAAACGTGTCTCGTGTTTTTACCATGTGTGTTTGTCTCGTGTTTTTACCGTGTGTGTTTGTTTTGTGTTTTTACCGTGTGTGTGTTTGTTGTGTGTTTGTTTCGTGTTTTTACCGTGTGTGTTTGTTTCGTGTTTTTACCGTGTGTGTTTGTTTTGTGTTTTTACCGTGTTGTTTGTGTGTTTCTGTTTTTTGTGTGTTTGTTTCGTGTTTTTACCGTGTGTGTTTGTTTCGTGTTTTTACCGTGTGTGTGTTTGTTTTTGTGTGTTTTTACCGTGTGTGTTTGTTTTGTGTTTTTACCGTGTGTGTTTGTTTTGTGTTTTTACCGTGTGTGTTTGTTTGTGTGTTTTTACCGTGTGTGTGTGTTTGTTTCGTGTTTTTACCGTGTGTGTTTGTTCTCGTGTTTTTACCGTGTGTGTGTTTGTCTCGTGTTTTTACCGTGTGTGTTTGTTTTGTGTTTTTACCGTGTGTGTTTGTTTTGTGTTTTTACCGTGTGTGTTTGTCTCGTGTTTTTACGTGTGTGTTTGTTTCATGTTTTTACGTTGTGTTTTTCAGAGATCGCGCTGCAGCAGGTCTCCATGTTCTTCAGGTCGGACCCCAAATGGGAGGTTCAGGAGCCGCTCAAAGACATGGGTAAAAACACACACACACACACACACACACACACACACACAGGGTAAAAACACACACACACACACACACACACAGGGTAAAAACACACACACACACAGGCTACACAGGGTAAAAACACACACACACACACACACAGGGTAAAAACACACACACACACACACAGGGTAAAAACACACACACACACAGGGTAAACACACACACACACACAGGGGTACACAACACACACACACACACACAGGGTAAAAACACACACACACATACACAGGGTAAAAACACACACACACATACACAGGGTAAAAACACACACACACACACACACACACACATACACAGGGTAAACACACACACATACACAGGGTAAAAACACACACACACACACACACAGGGTAAAAACACACACACACACACACACAGGGTAAAAACACACACACACACAGGGTAAAAAACACACACACACACACACAGGGTAAAAACACACACACACACACAGGGTAAAAACACACACACACACACACAGGGTAAAAACACACACACACACATACACAGGGTAAAAACACACAACACACACACAGGGTTAAAACACACACACACATACACAGGGTAAAAACACACACACACAACACAGGGTAAAAACACACACACACACACACAGGGTAAAAAAAACACACACACACACAGGGTAAAACACACACACACACACAGGGTAAAAACACACACATACACAGGGTACACAGGGTAAAAACACACACACACAGGGTAAAACACACACACACACAGGGTAAAAACACACACACATACACAGGGTAAAACACACACACACACACACACAGGGTAAAACACACACACACACAGGGTAAAAACACATACACAGGGTAAAAACACACACACATACACAGGGTAAAAACACACACACACACATACACAGGGTAAAAACAACACACACACACACACACAGGGTAAAAAACACACACACACACAGGGTAAAACACACACACACACACAGGGTAAAAACACACACACACACACAGGGTAAAAACACACACACACATACACACAGGGTAAAAACACACACACACATACAGAGGGTAAAAACACACACACACAGAGGGTAAGAACACACACTGGTAGATATAATATATAAATATAAATTAGTAATATTTGTGACTGTGTGTTTCAGGTTGGAGAATCAGAAAACAATACTTCATGATCAAAAACAAGGAACAGCCCAAAGAGAGATACGTCCTCAGCTGGGTAAGACCTGGTTCAGAGACCTGGTTCAGACCTGGTTCAGACCTGGTTCAGACCTGGTTTAGATCTTGTGTCAGTCTCATGTTGTACATTAGTATAAATAAACTTGATTAGTTTTAGTGAGTTACTCGAGGTCTGGAGTTTTCTCATGCAGCATCAGCAGGACCAACAACTGCAGGAGTTATAGTAGTATTTGTAGTATTTGTACTATTTGTAGTAGCAGTAGTAGTAGTAGTAGTTGTAGCATTAGTAGTAGTAGTAGTAGTACCAGTAGTTGTAGTAGCAGTAGTAGTATTTGTAGTATTTGTAGTAGTATTTGTAGTAGTGGTAGTAGTAGTAGTAGTAGTATTTGCAATATTTGTAGTACTAGTAGTAGTATTTGTAATATTTGTAGTAGTAGTATTTGTAGTAGTATCTGTAATATTTGTAGTAGTAGTATTTGTAGTAGTATTTGTAGTATTTGTAGTAGTATTTGTATTATTTGTAGTAGTAGTAGTAATATTTGTAATATTTGTAGTAGTAGTATTTGTAATATGTGTAGTAGTAGTAGTATTTGTAGTATTTGTAGTAGTAGTAGTACTATTTGTAATATTTTTGTAGTAGTAGTAGTAGTAGTAGTAGTATTTGTAATATTTGTAGTAGTAGTATTTGTAATATGTGTAGTAGTAGTAGTATTTGTAGTATTTGTAATATTTTGTAGTAGTATTAGTAGTAGTAGTAGTAGTAGTATTTGTAATATTTGTAGTTGTAGTAGTAGTAGTAGTATTTGTAGTGTAGTAGTAGTAGTAGTATTTGTAGTAGTAGTATTTGTAATATTTGTAGTAGTAGTAGTAGTAGTAGTATTTGTAATATTTGTTGTAGTAATAGTAGTAGTATTTGTAATATTTGTAGTAATATTTGTAGTAGTAGTACTAGTAGTATTTGTAATATTTGTAGTAATATTTGTAGTAGTAGTACTAGTAGTATTTGTAATATTTGTAGTAATATTTGTAGTAGTAGTAGTAGTATTTGTAATATTTGCTGTAGTAATAAGTAGTAATAGTAGTGTAGTATTGTAGTAATATTTGTAAGTAATATTTGTAGTAGTAGTACTAGTAGTATTTGTAATATTTGTAGTAATATTTGTAGTAGTAGTAGTAGTAGTATTTGTAGTAACATTCTCATCTGTGTGTTTCAGGTGGATCTGGGTCCAGACAAGTTCCTCTCAGACAAAGATCTACAGTCAGCTGTGAAACTGCTGTCTGCCCTGCCTGTACGTCAGGGACGCACCTGACACACACGCGCCTGACACACACGCGCCTGACACACACGCACCTGACACACACGCACCTGACACACACGCATCTGACACACACGGGGGACCTGACACACACGCCTGACACACGGGGACACGGGGACGCGCCTGACACACACGGGAGCCTGACACACACGAGGACGCGCCTGACACACACGGGGAGGACACACACGCGCCTGACACACACGGGGACGCACCTGACACACACGCGCCTGAACACACTGACACACACGGGGGACGCACCTGACACACACTGACACCTGACGCACCTGACACACACACGCACCTGACACACGGGGACGCGCCTGACACACACACGCGCCTGACACACACGAGGACGCGCCTGACACACACGGGGACGCGCCTGACACACACGCCTGACACACACGGGGACGCGCCTGACACACACGAGGACGCGCCTGACACACACCTGACACGCACACACACACGGGGACGCGCTGACACATACCTGACACAGCCTGACACACGGGGACGCGCCTGACACACACGCGCCTGACACTGACACACACGGGACGCGCCTGACACACACGGGGACGCGCCTGACACACACACGACCTGACACACGGACGCTGACACCGACACCTGAACACGGGGACGCGCCTGACACACACGGGGACGCCTGACACACACGCACCTGACACACACGGGGACCTGAACACAACAGGGGACGCGCCTGACACACACGCACCTGAACGGACACACACGCACCACACACCGCACACGGACTGACACACACGCACCTGACAACACACGGGACTGCACATGACGCGCCTGACACACACGGGGACGCGCCTGACACACACGGGGACGCGCCTGACACACACACGCGCCTGACACACACGGGACGCGCCTGACACACACGCACCTGACACACACGGGGACGCGCCTGACACACACGCCTGACACACACGGACTGACACACACAGCGCCTGACACACACGGGACGCTGACACACACACGAGGACACACGCCTGACACACACGCACACACACGACGCACCTGACACACACGACGCACCTGACATGGGGACCACCTGACACACACGGGGACGCACCTGACACACACTGAGGAGGAGGGCACCTGACACACACGGGGAACTGACACACACACTGACACACACGCACCTGACACACACGGGGACGACACCTGACACACACGGGGGATGACACACACGACCACCTGACACACACGAGGAGGACGCACCTGACACACACGCACCTGACACACACGCACCTGACACACACGAGGACGCACCTGCCACACACGCACCTGACACACACTGGGGACGACTGACACACGCACCTGACACACACGACACCTGACACACACGCACCTGACACACCACCGACCACCGACGGGACGACACACAACGCACCTGACACACACGCACCTGACACACACACGGGACGCGCCTGACACACACGGGGACGCGCCTGACACACACGGGACGCGCCTGACACACACACACCTGACACACACACGCGCCTGACACACACGGGACGGGACACACAGCGCCTGACACACACACACACACTGACGACGCACGCGCCTGAACACACACTGACACACACGCACCTGACACACACCACGCACCGACACACCACCTGCACACACACGAGGACGCACCTGACACACACACGGGGACGCACTGACACACACGGGGACGCACCTGACACACACGACTGAGGAGGGCACCTGACACACACGGGGACGACACACCTGACACACACGGGGACACACCTGACACACACACACCTGACACGCACCTGACACACACGCACCTGACACACACGGGACGCCTGACACACACGCACCTGACACACACGGGGACACACCTGAAACACACGGGGACGCACCTGACACACACGAGGACGCACCTGACACACACGCACCTGACACACACGGGGACGCACCTGACACACACGAGGACGCACCTGAAACACACGCACCTGACACACACGGGGACACACCTGACACACACGGGGACACACCTGACACACACGGGACACACTGACACGCACGGGGACGCACCTGACACACACGCACCTGACACACACGGGGACGACACCTGACACACATGGGGACGACACCTGACACACACGGGGACGCACCTGACACACACGGGGACGCACCTGACACACACGGGGACGCACCTGACACACAGAGTGAGGATGCCTGACACACAGAGTGAGGACGCCTGACACACACGGGGAGGACACCTGACACACACGGGGAGGGCGTCTAGAGTAACGGGTGGTGCTCCTGGAGTAACGGGTGGTGCTCCTGGAGTAACGGGTGGTGCTCCTGGAGTAACGGGTGGTGCTCCTGGAGTAACGGGTGGTGTTTCTGGAGTAACGGGTGGTGCTCCTGGAGTAGCGGGTGGTGCTCCTGGAGTAAACGGGTGGTGCTCCTGGAGTAACGGGTGGTGCTCCTGGAGTAACGGGTGGTGTTTCTGGAGTAACGGGTGGTGCTTCTGGAGTAACGGGTGGTGCTCCTGGAGTAACGGGTGGTGCTTCTGGAGTAACGGGTGGTGCTTCTGGAGTAACGGGTGGTGCTCCTGGAGTAACGGGTGGTGTTTCTGGAGTAACGGGTGGTGCTCCTGGAGTAACGGGTGGTGTTTCTGGAGTAACGGGTGGTGTTTCTGGAGTAACGGGTGGTGCTTCTGGAGTAACGGGTGGTGTTCCTCAGGGGTCGGTGGTGGTGCCGGTGGTTTTCTTCAGTCTCAGTGAATCTTCAGCTTTGATCATCAGAGCGTTCAGCGAGAGAGGCTCCCTCCGAGACCACATCTGCAAGGTACTAATACTACAAATACTACTGCAAATACTAAAAATACTACTACTACTGCAAATACTACTAATACTACTATTGCAAACACTACTACTACTACTACTACTACTACTACTACTACTACTGCGACTACTACCACTACTAGTGCTACTACTACTACTAAGGCAAATACTGCTACTGCAAATACAACTACTACTATTGCAAATACTACTACGACTACTACTACTACTATTACTACTACTACTACTACTACTACTACTACTGCAAATACTACTACTACTACTACTACCACTGCTACTATTACTACTGCAAATACTACTACTACTGCATATACTACTACTGCAAATACTACTACTACTGCAAAATATTACTACTACTGCAAATACTACTGGAAACACTACTACTACTAATACTCATACTTGTGTATTTTCAGGTGAAGCCGAGGGAGTCGTACTTGAAGAAATACTGTAACCCCAAAAAGAGCCAAGGTCTGGACCTGCCGTCCATCAAACTGTACGGACGCACCATCCTGGAGGTGAGACCAGGTCCAGTCCTGGTCCAGTCCTGGTTTAGTCCAGGTCCAGTCCTGGTTTAGTCCTGGTTTAGTCCAGGTCCAGTCCTGGTTTAGTCCAGGTCCAGTCCTGGTCTAGTCCTGGTTCAGTCCAGGTCTAGTCCTGGTCTAGTCCTGGTTCAGTCCAGGTCTAGTCCTGGTTCAGTCCAGGTCCAGTCCTGGTTTAGTCCAGGTCCAGTCCTGGTCTAGTCCTGGTTCAGTCCAGGTCTAGTCCTGGTTTAGTCCAGGTCCAGTCCTGGTCTAGTCCTGGTTCAGTCCAGGTCTAGTCCTGGTTTAGTCCAGGTCCAGTCCTGGTCTAGTCCTGGTTCAGTCCAGGTCTAGTCCTGGTTTAGTCCAGATCTAGTCCTGGTTTAGTCCCTGGTTTAGTCCCTGGTTTAGTTCCTGGTTTAGTCCTGGTCTAGTCCTGGTTCAGTCCAGGTCTAGTCCTGGTTTAGTCCCTGGTTTAGTCCCTGGTTTAGTCCCTGGTTTAGTCCCTGGTTTAGTTCCTGGTTTAGTTCCTGGTTTAGTCCCTGGTTTAGTCCCTGGTCTAGTCCTGGTCTAGTCCTGGTTTAGTCCCTGGTTCAGTCCTGGTCTAGTCCTGGTCTAGTCCTGGTTTAGTCCAGGTCTAGTCCTGGTTTAGTCCCTGGTCTAGTCCTGGTTCTAGTCCTGGTTCAGTCCTGGTCTAGTCCTGGTCTAGTCCTGGTCCTGGTCTAGTCCTGGTCTAGTCCTGGTCTAGTCCTGGTCTAGTCCTGGTCTAGTCCTGGTTTAGTCCTGGTCTAGTCCTGGTCTAGTCCTGGTCTAGCCCTGGTCTAGTTCTGGTCTAGTTCTGGTCTAGTTCTGGTCTAGTCCTGGTCTAGTCCTGGTCTAGTCCTGGTTCAGTCCTGGTTCAGTCCTGGTCTAGTCCTGGTTTAGTCCTGGTCTAGTCCTGGTCTAGTCCTGGTTCAGTCCTGGTCTAGTCCTGGTCTAGTCCTGGTTCAGTCCTGGTCTAGTCCTGGTTTAGTCCTGGTTTAGTCCTGGTCTAGTCCTGGTTCAGTCCTGGTCTAGTCCTGGTTTAGTCCTGGTTTAGTTCTTTAGTCCTGGTCTAGTCCTGGTTCAGTCCTGGTCTAGTCCTGGTCTAGTCCTGGTCTAGTCCTGGTCTAACCCGGTCTCTCTCGGTGTGTCTCCTCTGTAGACCCTCAGGATGCTCCACAGCTCTGGTCTGTTCTTTGGACATCTTCACAGCTGTAATGTTCTGGTGGAGGACGGTTCCGTGCGGCTGGTGGACCTGGAGGCTGGTCTCCTGGGAGTTCCATCAGCGCTCAGACCTCTGTTCACCCAGTTCAGGAAAATCAACGTAAGGAACGGAACGCACCATTTAAACTCAGATAAAAAGGTTCTCCTGGATCTCCTGTAGACCACAGAGAGCGTAGATGTCTTCCTCTTTGTTCTCCTGTAGTTCCTCTCGTTGTTCTCCTGTCCTTATGGTTCTTCTGTAGTTCCTCTCGTTGTTCTCCTGTCCTCATGGTTCTTCTGGTTCTTCTGTAGTTCCTCTCGTTGTTCTCCTGTCCTCATGGTTCTTCTGGTTCTTCTGTAGTTCCTCTCGTTGTTCTCCTGTCCTCATGGTTCTTCTGTAGTTCCTCTCGTTGTTCTCCTGTCCTCATGGTTCTTCTGTAGTTCTTCTTGTTGTTCTCCTGTCCTCATGGTTCTTCTGGTTCCTCTGGTTCTCGTGTCCTCATGGTTCCTCTGGTTCTCCTGTCCTCATGGTTCTTCTGGTTCTTCTATAGTTCCTCTCGTTGTTCTCCTGTCCTCATGGTTCTTCTGTAGTTCTTCTCATTGTTCTCCTGTCCTCATGGTTCTTCTGGTTCTTCTGTAGTTCCTCTCGTTGTTCTCGTGTCCTCATGGTTCTTCTGTAGTTCTTCTCGTTTTTCTCGTGTTCTCATGGTTCTTCTGGTTCCTCTGGTTCTTCTGTAGTTCTTTTCGTTTTTCTCGTGTCCTCATGGTTCTTCTGGTTCCTCTGGTTCTTCTGTAGTTCCTCTCGTTGTTCTCCTGTCCTCATGGTTCTTCTCCTGTCCTCATGGTTCTTCTGGTTCCTCTGGTTCTCGTGTCCTCATGGTTCCTCTGGTTCTCCTGTCCTCATGGTTCTTCTGGTTCTTCTATAGTTCCTCTCGTTGTTCTCCTGTCCTCATGGTTCTTCTGTAGTTCTTCTCATTGTTCTCCCTGTCCTCATGGTTCTTCTGGTTCTTCTGTAGTTCCTCTCGTTGTTCTCTGTTCTCTGGTTCTTCGTTTTCTCGTGTTCTCATGGTTCTTCTGGTTCTCTGGTTCTTCTGTAGTTCTTTTCGTTTTTCTCGTGTCCTCATGGTTCTTTCTGGTTCCTCTGGTTCTTCTGTAGTTCCTCTCGTTGTTCTCTCCTGTCCTCATGGTTCTCCTGTCCTCATGGTTCTTCTGGTTTCCTCTGGTTCTCTGTCCTCTGTTCCTCTGGTTCTCTGTCCTCATGGTTCTTCTGGTTCTTCTGTAGTTCTCTCGTTGTTCTCCTGTCTCATGGTTCTTCTGTAGTTCTTCTCGTTGTTCTCCTGTCCTCATGGTTCTTCTGGTTTTTCTGTAGTTCTTCTCGTTGTTCTCCTGTCCTCATGGTTCTTCTGTAGTTCTTCTCGTTGTTCTCCTGTGCTCATGGTTCTTCTGGTTCCTCTCATTGTTCTCGTGTCCTCATGGTTCTTTTGGTTCTTCTGTAGTTCTTCTCGTTGTTCTCGTGTCCTCATGGTTCTTCTGGTTCTCTTGTTTGTTCTCGTGTCCTCATGGTTCTTCTGGTTCCTCTGGTTCTCCTGTAGACCACAGAGAGCGTAGATGTTTTCTCTTTTCGGGGTGGTTCTGTATGAGATGACGTACGGACGTCCTCCAGACTCTGTCCCCGTCAACCAGTTTCCAGATGTTCCACACCCCAGCGTAGGTCAGTGAACGCAACACGACAACGACACAACAACAACACGACAAAAACAACACGACAACAACAACGACGACAACGACACAACAACAACACGACAAAAACAACAACACAACAACAACAACACGACGACAACACAACAACACGACAACAACAACACGACAAAAACAACGACGACGACAACAACACGACGACGACAACAACACGACGACATCAAACACGACGACGACAACACGACAACAACACGACAACATCAACACGACGACGACAACACAACAACACGACGACAACACGACAACAACACGACAACAACAACACGACAACACGACAACAACAACGACAACAACACAACAACATGACAACAACAACATGACGACAACACAACAACACGACAACAACAACACGACGACAACACAACAACACGACAACAACAACACGACAACAACACGACAACATCAACACGACGACGACAACACAACAACACGATGACAACACGACAACAACACAATAACACGACAACAACAACACGACAACAACACAATAACACGACAACAACAACACGACAACAACACAATAACACGACAACAACAACGACGACAACGACACAACAACAACACGACAAAAACAACAACACAACAACAACAACACGACGACAACACAACAACACGACAACAACAACACGACAAAAACAACGACGACGACAACAACACGAACAACACAAACACGACGACGACAACACAACAACACACGACAAACGACGACAACGACAACAACACGACAACACGACAACACGACACAAACAAACGAACAACAACAACGACAACAACACAACAACATGACAACAACACGACGACAACACAACAACACGATAACACGACAACAACAACACGATAACACGACAACAACAACACGATAACACGACAACAACAACACGACAACACGACAACAACAACACAATAACACGACAACAACAACACGACAACAACACAATA